AAACAGTAGCCAATCAGTTGTTTTAATTGTCATATTTGAATTCAGCAGATCAAATACATAATAAATAGCACATTTTATCTCTAAGCAGACGACTTCTCAAAAATTGTAGACCAGTGATTAGTCTCTGTACAACTCTACGTTTGAATCCTTCAGGGTCTCCTAGGGTGACCAGACAACAAGTGTGAAAAATCGGGACGGGGGTGGGGGGTAATAGGAGCCTATATAAGAAAAAGACCCAAAAATCGGGACTGTTCCTATAAAATCGGGACATCTGGTCACCCTAGGGTCTCCTGGTCATGGTCTAGAGTGCCAAACAAATCTTGAATCAGCAGTCTGGTCTCATGTTTCTCCTCTGCACTGTCCTTGTGATCTCACTCATCAGCAATTATCCCCATGGCCTCACTCCCATGCATGGGCGGTGGATGAAGCTTTCACTTGGGGAGGCTAGCTCCCCGCCTTGCCTCTTCTGCCTGTGGCCCTGCCCACACTCCACCCCTGCTCCGCCACAGGTCCCGCCCCCACTCTGCCCAGGCCCTGCCCCCTCCCCAATTGGCCCACTCGCCCGCCATGCATGTCTCCCTCCTCGCTTTCCTCCCCCTCCCTGCTCACTCCCCCCCACTCACCACGTGCGCACCCCCTTCCAGCCAAATCCCTGAAACCAAGCAAATGATATTTGAAGAAAACTCCACTTTTCTGCAATTTCTTTCTAAAGAAAATGGAGCATGTTTTCCACTGTGTGCCAGATTGTGTTTGTGAAGACTGGACATGCAGAAAGTACCTAATTAAAAGCACTAAATTTGGGAATAAGTTATGTCAGTCACAGATTTTTTGATACCCTGATATGCACGCATCCTGCAAAATGGCCTTTTCAAGTGCCCCACCCCCATCTCATTGATCCTGGGGAACATATAATGGCAAGCAGCAGTTAAAGCTAATTGAGAAATCTCTGTCCTCCTTTCTTCACACAAGAAAACAAGGTGTCAGGCCTCACTCTCAGCTGGCATTTGCACCCTGACAGGAAGAAAATGGCTGGAATCAGACTGCAAAAGCTGCCATCTCAT